AAGTTTTTGGCTATTACAGATTTAGCTGCTATAACCATTCCTCTACAGGTCTTTGTAGGGACATGTCCTTTCATTTCTCTTAGGTAAATACTTATGAGTAGAATGCCTGGTATATGGAAGGTGTATACCTTTAACTTTTTTTAAAAAACTGCCAAACAGTGTTCTAAAGTTGCTGTGACATGATACAGTACCACCACCATTGTGAGTATTCCAGTTATCCTACAACCTTGCCAATTTTGGTGTGGAAATCTTTTTAATTTTAGCCATTCTAGAGGTATGTAGTGGCAGCTCACTGTGGTTTTAATTTGCATTTTCCTAGTAATTAACGATGTTGAACATCTTTTCATGTATTTAGTAAACATTTGTATAATTTCTTTGGTGAGCTATCTGTTCAAATATTTACCCATTTTTTAAAAAATGGGTTACTAGCTTTCTAACTGAGTTACAAGAGCTCTTTATATATTCTATAAGCAAGTCCTCTGTCAGACATATAATTTGCAACTATGTTTTCCCAGTCTGTAGCTTGCTTTTTCATTTTCTTAGTGTTAGCTTTTGATTAGCAAAAACTTAGAATTTTGATGAGCTCCAATTTATCATTCTTTTCTTTTATAGCTCATGTTTTTAGTGACATTCTAAGAAATCACTGCCAAACCAAGATTACAAAAATTTTCTGCTACAAGTTTTGTGTTTTTAGCTTTAAATTTAGGTCTATAATCCACTTTCAGCTATTTTTTCTGCATCGTGAGAAGTAAGAGTCAAGGTTCATGTTATTGCATATCACTGTTCAATTGTTCTAGCACCATGTGTTAAAAAGATATCCCTTCCCCAAAGAACTGCCTTGGCACATCAGTTGACCACGTATGTGTAGGTCTATTTCTGGACTCTATTACGTTCCATTAATGTAGTCTATTTTTACACCAGTACCACTGCCTTGATTACTGTGGCTTTATAATAAGTCTTAAAGTTATTAATAGATAGTTAAGTCCTCCAACTTTGCTGTTCTTTTTCAAAACTGTTTTGATCACTCTAGGTCCCAGTCCATAAACACGGTTGTAGTAGTTTCCTAAAGCTACCATCACAAATTACCATAAACTTGGTGGCTTAAAACAACAGAAATTTATTCTGTCACAGTTCTGGAGACCAGAAGTCTGAAATTAAGTTGGCAGGGCCTCACTCCCTCTGAAGGGCCTAGGGGAGAATACTTCTTTGCCGCTTCCAGCTCCTAGAGGCTCTTAGCTTTCCTTGGCTAATGGCAACGTGACTCTAATCCATGCCTCCATCTTCACATGGCCTTCTTTCCTGTGTCTCTGTGGATCTAAATTTCCCTTTCCTTTCTCTCATAAAGACTCCAGTCATTGGATTTAGGGCCCACCCTAAAGACAAGAATATAGAATGATTCCATCTCGAGATCCTTAACTGATTACATCTGCAAAGATCCTATTCCCAAATAAGGTCACATGCTGAGGCTCCAGCTGGACATGAGTGGTGGCATGGGGCGGTGGGATTGGGACACTAGTAACTAGTTACTACAATATACTACAAA